ACAGCACTTGCCCCTACAGTCTGTTAAGGCTATATGGGGGATCTTTGTCTTTGCTCCAGCCGGAGCCGCGCCTTGTGTGTGTGTATGTATATGTATGTCTGTTTGTATGTGTGTATGTATATATGTGTGTGTGTATATGTATGTGTGTGTATGTGTATGTGCCTGTACAGAATAGTTGCTGGTCACCCACCCCCTCGTGTGCCGTGCCGGCCTTCATAGGTGCTACTCGCTAACAGCACTTGCCCCTACAGTCTGTTAAGGCTACACGGGGGATCTTTGTTTTTATTGTTTGTACGGAATAGTGATAAATTACTTTAGCTATATATACCCACACAAAAAGACAAAGAACCCCTCTCCCGTATAGCCTTAACAGACTGTACAGGCAAGTGCTGTTAGCGAGTAGCGCCTATGAAGGCCGGCACGGGACACGAGGGGGTGGGTGGCCAGCACCACGCCCGGCCGCCTTTGTCTCCCCACTGGCGATCTTTACTATGCACCGCACGGGCTACTCGTTTGAGGCTGAGTCGACCTAGCGGAGGCCCAGGAACTGCTGAAACATTCACTGTTGTTAAACTAAATATATACATAAATACACACTTGTGAGTATGTGGGGAGCGGTGGTGTAGTAACGGGTTCGCGAAGCTCCACTACGAACCCGGCGAACCGGTTTCGATTCCCACTCACGGCCAACACCATCGACGATTAATCAAAACGGTCCTGGGCCTCTCCTATGTCGACTCAGCCTCAAATGGTACCTGGTGGCCGGGCGTGGTGCTTGCCACCCACCCCCTCGTGTGCCGTGCCGGCCTTCATATATGCTACTCGCTAACGGAACTTGCCCCAACAGTCTGTCACAGGCTATACGGGGGATCTTTGCCTTTGTGCTTGAGCAGCTGGTGTGGCTGTGTGTGTGTGTTCACGGAGCGGTGGCGCAGGGGTTAGCGCACCGCGCCACTGCTTTCACTTGGCCGCGATCGAGAGTCGAACTCGGTTTGAACGGGTTCGTAGCGCAGTGCGTCAACCACTGTGCCACCGCTCCCCCCCCGCCCCCACAACACACACACGCACACACACACACATGCACACACACACACGCACACACACTAACGCACACACACACTAATGTGTACATGTTGGTGTGCACGCTACAAGCACAGTGCACACACGCGCGCGCGCGTACGCATCGGATATACAACACAGATGGAGTCCGAGCGATTATTGCAATTGTGCTTTGGGGAAGGGTCGTTACCCGAAACGTCGTCTATTATTATTTTTTGGGCGGGGGGGGGGGGGTATTTAAAGGGCGCACCACATAGCTACTGTAGAATTTAGCTGAGGTTTTAAAAATAAAAAAGTAGAAACTTTAGCAATAGGGATGTTGATCTAGTGATCGACAGCCAAAAACGCACATTAAGACAAAATTAAGACAGTTTATATTCGGTCTACAACGCCAGTTTGCATCGACATCTTGTGATATACAGAATAGTAATTATTTTTATTTTAATCCGTTAAAACAATCAGTTTTTATTGCGTGCGTGTTTTTTTTAAACTAACTTTTTTCGGGAAATAAAAAGGGATAGAGTTGCTCGGATGGAGGACCCACGGGGCGTGTCTGGCAATTCATCCGCTTTGAATGAAGCGAAGCTGCTGATGTGACACTTCATGTCGAAACCGGTGCTTGCCTACACACAACTGGTCGTTCACCCGCTTTGGTTGAAGCGAAGCTGCTGATGTGACACTTCATGTCGAAACCGGTGCTTGCCTACACACAACTGGCCGTTCACCAGCTTTGGTTGAAGCGAAGCTCGCTGATGAGACACTTCATGTCGAAACCGGTGCTTCCCTACACACAACTGGCCGTTCACCAGCTTTGGTTGAAGCGAAGCTCGCTGATGAGACACTTCATGTCGAAACCGGTGCTTGCCTGCACAAAACTGGCCGTTCACCCGCTTTGGTCCAGAACAAGTATAACCCGTAAAAACAAAGTTTTTCACTATAAATCCTTTATATGCGTGGCGGCTAGAGTCCTCTGGCTTGAGATGGCTGCCACCTATGGGTCAGATGATTGTCTGGCAGCATTAAACAATTGGTAATTTAAAAAAAATTCTAAACATTGTAAAATTTTTGAAAAAAATGTTCACGAAAATGCATTGTCACGCACAACGAGTCTGTGTGCAAAATGTCAGCTCGATTGGATCACGGGAAGTGGGTTAAAAACGACCGAAAGATTTGCACGGTCCTAAGCTCAAGTGCTGTTAGCGAGCACCTATGAAGGCCGGCACGGACACACCAGAGTGTGGGTGACCAAGAGCCACACCCGGCCGTCTTTGTCTCTCCCCCCCCCCCCCCCAAAACGTGGCTTAGAAAGGACCCCCTCGTAATCCGACGACTTTCTGCGCACGTGGCGATCCGTTCATGGACGCACCGGCAAACATTGAGGCTGTTAACCTCAACGGCGTTCAGTGATTCTACCAAAAAAACCTAAGAGTATAACATCTCCCCCCTTCAGTCTCCATAACTAAAGGGGAGATTTTGATGTAAAGCTTCTTTCGTGACTGCAGGGATTCATATTCTTGGTTATTTCGGTAAAGTCACGTAGAAGGGAAATAATACAATTCAAATATATTTGTATTTTATTATATTTGTATTTTATTATTTCCCTTCTAAAATTCAAATATATCTGTAAAATACAAATATTTTATTATTTCCCTTCTACGTGACTTTGCCGAAAGTACCAATAATATAAAGGGGAGATGTTGTTAAGGGAGACACCTCGTGTACAATAGACTGGTAGTCCCCGACTTACGATATTTCGATCTTACGATGGTAATAGCGATACGGCAAAATTGTAACATATTTTTAATTTCGCGCGGCAGGCAAACGCAGCAGCGTACTAGGTACGATACGTTCATTGCATGTTAAACGTTTTTTTTAAATATATTAGATAGGATTGTTTCCTGAAAAAAGTTTCTATTAAATTGCAGTTCTTATAGGTAGGCTAAGAATTTACCCTGTTTTTGTTACTTTATATTTTACCGTGCAATACAGTATTGTAATTAATAAATACATACAGTATATAGTGTACACAGTACGGTACTGTAAGTATATATGTTCATGTGCCCGCTGGTAAGAAAGTTAGAGCGGGGATAGGCTAAAGTCCGTGGGGTATCTGTAAATGGGTCGTCTTTCGTGTCTGTGTGAATGTGCTGGTTAATATATATGTAAAGTAGAGCATTTCCCAAAGGCGCTTTGGTAAATTATAATTCTAAACTTTTACACCATGTACGCATATCCTTTGGTTCTTTCGGTAAAGTCAAGTAGATAGAAAATAAAAATAAAATTTAATAAAATTAAAAATAAATCTTAAATGTAAATTCAAAAAAAAAATTTAAATTTCAAAATTAAATTAAAAATAAAATAAAATTAAAAATTTTATTAAAAAGAAAATTAAAAACAAATTGTTAAATAAAATTTTAATAAAAAATCAAATGTAAAATAAAAAATATTTTTTTTATTAAAATCCAATTAAAAATGTAATAAAAAATAAAATAAAAAATACATTTTTAAATAAAAATTTTATTAAAAATAAAATGTTAAATAAATTTAAAATAAAATTAAAAATGAAAGCAAAAAAAACCCCGGCGTTTCGATCGCAACACCAGCGGTCTTTTTTCTCTCTCCGCCTGATGAAGGCCGCTTGTGTTGCGATCGAAACGTCGCGGGTTTTTAACTTTTAATTTTAATTTAATTTAATTTTAATTTTCTATCTACATGACTTTACCGAAATAACCAAAGAGAAGATGAATTCCTGCAGTCACGAAAGTTTTAAGTCAAAACGTACCATGTACGTTATATTTGAGTTGACTTCGAAGAAAGTTTTTGAGCGTTCTGTGTGCGCGTTATAATAAGTTGTAATAAGTTGTAATAAGTTATAATAAGTTGTAATAAGTTATTTTAAGTGTTTAGGTGTTGATTTACAATCGCACGGATTGTGCGGATGAGATGGACTCCATACAAAAGACAAAGATCCCCCGTATAGCCTTCGGCAGGCTTCTGGGGCAAGTGCTGTTAGCGAGTAGCAGTGTCTGTGTCCGGCAAAAGGCACACGAATGGGTGGGCCGGTGGCCAGCGTCACGCCCGGCCGCCTTTGTCTCCCCAGTGGTGCTTTTTTACGCAGCACGCCGAGTACTCATTTTAGGCTGAGTCGACCTAGGGGAGGCCCAGGACCTTTTCAGATAATCGTCGCTGGCGTTGGCCGTGAGCGGGAATCGAACTCGGGTCGCCGGGTTCGTAGCGCAGTGTAGCGCTAACCGCTACACCACCGCTCCCCACACACATACACACAACACATACACACATACACACACATACACACACATACACACACACATACAAAGACAAAGATCCCCCGTGTAGCCTTAACAGACTGTAGGGGCAATCGCTGTTAGCGAGCACCTATGAAGGCCGGAACGGCACACGAGGGGGTGGGTGGCCAGCACCACGCCCGACCGCCTTTGTCTCCCCAGTGGCGATGTTTACACACCGCTCCAGGTACTCATTTAAGGCTGAGTCGACCTAGGGGAGGCCCAGGACCGGTTCAGATAATCGTCACTGGTAGTGGCCGTGAGCGGGAATCGAACTCGGGTCGCCTAACCACGACACTACAATGCGTTACGCTTCCACATGCGCGGGTCACGTGACAGATGTGATGTCACCGCTCACTTGCCGTGCTAAAAATCTCTGCATTATTGAGCCCCCCCCCCCCCCCCAAAAAAGTGTATTTTTATAATGTTTGCACGGTGTACAGTCTGGAAAGTACCCACATGGCAAATTTCCAGACACACGTAATCACAACTGTGCCTTTTATATATATGGAAATGTGTATATCCTGTCGTCAATGTACTCACACGAACACGACGGTAAATCACTGAGAATCGGGATGAAACATCCCTCCCCTGCTCTCTCTCTCTGTCTGTCTGTCACTCTCATTGATTCGGCAGGCCACCCACACATCAGTATCGAAGGCGCACTCCCAAACCGTGGCCACGGACCCCAGTTCGATTCCCGGCCGCCGTCAGCCACATCGAGTGGCGAGTGCGTGAGCCGGTCGTCCCGTGCCTCCGTCTTTCCGCCGAGTATCGATTCTGCCTTCGGTGAGTTTCAGTTTCATTTCAGTCTTTCAGTTTCATGTATTAGGTGTAACCCTCGATTTAAAGCTTTCGTGACTGCAGGGATTCATCTTCTTGGTTCTTTCGGTAAAGTCACGTAGAAGGGAAATAATAAAATAATACAAATAAAACATCATAAATTAAAATAATAATATAATAATAAAATAATATAACATAATAAATTACTATTATTTTATTATGTTTTATTTGTATTATTTTATTATTTCCCTTCTACGTGACTTTACCGAAAGAACCAAGAAGATGAATCCCTGCAGTCACGAAAGCCTTAAATCGAAATCTTAAAGTGACTACAAGCAACAGAAAAATCCTGGAAAAAACAGCAAAGTCTTTCAGAAACAACACCGCATTTCATTTTACACACCACCCTCTGTTTAATAGGTGCTCGCTAACCATACACTTGCCTCTCCCCTCCCCCCCGCCATCAGCCTTCAAGCACGTGGCACACGCAACACACACACGTGTGCGTTGCCATGGAGTTTTGATTGTGACGTCACATGAGTCGATAGCGACGAGCAGTGACAGCAGCCATGTTGAGTCCCTGCCCATGAAAACATTAAAAACCGTTAATATGTAGAAGTCTATCAAACAGTTAATTTATAAAATATATATATATATATTTCGATTTAAAGCTTTCGTGACTGCAGGGATTCATCTTCTTGGTTCTTTCCGACAGACCTGTTCTTCACCTGAGGACGGCTGCTTGCGTTGTGGCCAAAACGTCGTGAGAATTATTTTATTATGTTTTATTTTTATTATTTTATTACTTCCCTTCTACGTGACATTACCGAAAGAACCAAGAAGATGAATCCCTGCAGTCACGAAAGAAGCTTTAAATCGAAAAATGTGCCAATGAGTTACCCGTTCAGCACGCCCGGTGCGTTGGAGAGTAAACCCACTGCAATGTTGACAATTTGAGTAGCGTCACGTGTCGTTGGTGATCACGACAACAACAACAACAACAGCAGTCCGCTTCATCGGGCGATGTACCAGAATTGTGAAGACGTTTCCCTGTTGTGGTCTTAGAGTAAGGCACGATGCTCACGGTGGAAAGATGTTAACTACCTCGCCTGGTATACAGGAGGTCGTGGGTTTGATCCCGACCCTGACGCCTGCTGCTGTATATTTGGAGTTTGCGTGTCTCTCTCTCTCATCACGGTGGCTAGGAGATGTTAACTACCTCGCCTGGTCTACAGGAGGTCGTGGGTTTGATCCCGACCCTGACGCCTGTTGCTGTATATTTGGAGTTTGCGTGTCTCTCTCTCTCATCACGGTGGCTAGGAGATGTTAACTACCTCGCCTGGTCTACAGGAGGTCGTGGGTTTGATCCCGACCCTGACGCCTGTTGCTGTATATTTGGAGTTTGCGTGTCTCTCTCTCTCATCACGGTGGCTAGGAGATGTTAACTACCTCGCCTGGTATACAGGAGGTCGTGGGTTTGATCCCGACCCTGACGCCTGCTGCTGTATATTTGGAGTTTGCGTGTCTCTCTCTCTCATCATCATCACGGTGGCTAGGAGATGTTAACTACCTCGCCTGGTGTGCAGGAGGTCGTGGGTTCGATCCCGACCCTGACGCCTGCTGCTGTATATTTGGAGTTTGCGTGTCTCTCTCTCTCATCATCATCACGGTGGCTAGGAGATGTTAACTACCTCGCCTGGTATACAGGAGGTTGTGGGTTTGATCCCGACCCTGACGCCTGTTGCTGTATATTTGGAGTTTGCGTGTCTCTCATCATCATCACGGTGGCTAGGAGATGTTGACTACCTCGCCTGGTATACAGGAGGTCGTGGGTTTGATCCCGAACCTGACGCCTGCTGCTGTATATTTGGAGTTTGCGTGTCTCTCTCCCTATAGTCGCGTGGATTTTTCTCCAGGTCCTGCGGCCTTTCCCTCCACACTTAGAATCAACGTCACGAGTTTAGAGCATTCGGCTGCTATAAATGTCCACTCGATGATGATGATGATGAGCCCACTTCGTTGAGCTATAATTTGTGATCGCCAGATCGATTCTGAAAAAAAGAGCCGTAGACCTCAGATGGACCCTACGTGGTAAATTATATGAATTAATAAATGGTAGAGTCTAGATTTGAAGTTTTCGTGACTGCAACGATTCATATTCTTATGTTTTTTCGGTAAAGTCACGTAGGTAAAAAAAGTTACAATTAAATTAATAAAAGTAAAATAAAATTAAAATCACGACGTTTCGGAGGCAACACAAGCTTCCGTCTTCAGGTGGAACCAGATATATTTGTAATCTCTCATTTACTTGATACAGCTATCGTGCTGTGACGGTTCGACCTGAAGACGGATGCTTGTGTTGCCTCCGAAACGTCGTGATTTTAATTTTATTTTTAATTTTATTTAAATTTAAATTTTTTACCTACGTGACTTTACCGAAAAAACCTAACAATAAAAAATGATAGTTTAGTTTAAAAGGCGATGACTTCACAGCTCACTGATGACGAGTGTTTGTGTTGCAATCGAAACGTCGCGAGAATTTAGCAACAAAAATCTAACCATAAAACTATAGACAGACATACAAGCAGACAGATATCACCAAGATACACAGAGAGAGGACACGTATCGGCAGAAAGAGAGAGATCGTCTCTGTGACGAGGCCTTAAATAGAGAGAGGGGGACGGGGGCGGAGAGAGGGAGGGGGCAGAGGAAAAATTATATGTCTGTCTTTATCTTCTTGGTTCTTTCGGTAAAGTCACGTAGAAGGGAAGTAATAAAATAATAAAAATAAAACATAATAAAATAATTCTCACGACGTTTCGGCCACAACGCAAGCAGCCGTCCTCAGGTGCGTTGTGGTCGAAACGTCGTGAGAATTATTTTATTGTTTTATTTTTATTATTTTATTATTTCCCTTTTTCGTGACTTTACCGAAAGCTCACCATCGTTGAGCAGTGGCGTTAACGGATGAGTTGCAGCGCTGCGCCTTTTGCATCCTCATTTGAATGCCTCTGTGGATACGCAGTTGACTTCGTACGTACACGAGCAAGCATGGTGATGATGATGATAAGGCACCTTAGGGTTTCTACTTTAAACATCTGCGGGGTTTTTTATTTGGGTTGCGGCGACTAATAATCATCATCATCATCTCGATTTAAAACTTTCGTGACTGCAGGGATTCATCTTCTTGGTTCTTTCGGTAAAGTCACGTAGAAGGGAAGTAATAAAATAATAAAAATAAAATAAATATAAAAATAAAACATAATAAAACATGACTTTACCGAAAGAACCAAGAAGATCATCATCATCATCATCGCAATGCGCTGTCTTACAGACGAACGCATGTTTGTATTTGCGTGCAGAATTATAATGATGATGGTTTTGATGGTGGTGGTGGTGGTGGCGTGTTTGTCAGCGCCTTTAAATGGTATTTCATCAACTGTGGGGAGCGGTGGCGCAGTGGTTGACGCCGCTTTGCGCTGTGAACCCTGCCACCAACATCAGTGACGATTATCTGAACCGGTCCTGGGCCTCCCCTAGGTTGACTCGGCCCCAAATGACTACGGAACCTTGTGTGGTGTCTAGTAAACATCGCCACTGGGGAGACAAAGTTGGTTTGGCTGCCAAGGCTGTGCCACCCACCCCCTCGCGTGCCTTCGTAAGGTGCGACTCGCTAACAGCACTTGCCCCAACAGTCTGTTGCAGGCTATACGGGGGCTCTTTGTCTTCAGATGCGTGTAACTTAGCAGAGCCAAAATAGTAAAACACACACAAAGACAAAGATCACCCGCGTAGCCTCTAACAGACTGTTGGGGCAAGTGCTGTCAGCGATTAGCAGCACCTATGAAGGCCGGCACGGCAAAACGAGGGGGTGGTGTTGCCAGCAACCACGCCCGGCCGCCTTTGTCTCCCCCAGTGGCGATGGTTACTACACACCGCACCGGGTACTCATTTGAGGCCGAGTCGACCTAAGGGGGAGAGGACCAGGACCGGTTCAGATAATCGCCACCGCTGTTGGTGGCCGTGAATCGAACTCGGGTGGGCGGGTTTGTAGCGGTCAGTGCGCTCACCGCTACACTCACCGCTCACCGCTACACTCACCGCTACACTCACTGCTCACCGCTACACTCACCGCTACACTCACCGCTCACCGCTACACTCACCGCTACACTCACCGCTCACCGCTACACTCACCGCTACACTCACCGCTCACCGCTACACTCACCGCTTCACTCACCGCTCACCGCTACACTCACCGCTACACTCACCGCTCACCCCTACACTCACCACTACGCTCACCGCTCACCGCTACGCTCACCGCTACACTCACCGCTCACCGCTACACTCACCGCTTCACTCACCGCTCACCGCTACACTCACCGCTACACTCACCGCTCACCGCTACACTCACCGCTACGCTCACCGCTCACCGCTATGCTCACCGCAATGCTCACCGCTCACCACTACACTCACCACTACGCTCACCGCTCAACGCTACGCTCACCGCGACGCTCACCGCTACGCTCACCACTCACCACAAAGCTCACCACTACGCTCACCGCTCACCGCTACGCTCACCGCTCACCACTACGCTCACCACTACGCTCACCGCTCACTGCAACACTCACCGCTCACCGCAAAGCTCACCACTACGCTCACCACTCACCACAACGCTCATCGCTACGCTCACCACTCACCACTACGCTCACCGCTCACTGCAACACTCACCGCTCACCGCAAAGCTCACCACTACGCTCACCGCTAACCACAACGCTCACCGCGACGCTCACCGCTTCGCTTACCGCTCACCACTACACTCACCGCTACACTTACCACAACGCTCACCGCTCACCGCTACGCTCGCCGCTACGCTCACCACAGCGCTCGCCGCTACGCTCGCCGCTCACCGCTACGCTCACCGCGATGCTCACCCAAATCTCTTCCCTCCCCTCCCCACTCTCACTCGCAACTGACCTTCAATGTATCATCGCCATCATCGCCATCAT